TGAAGATTGATCGGGCTGCTCAGTGATGAGCAGTAAAGGAAAGGGACATCTGGGTGGGTGGGAAGGGGCCCTTAATGTTTCTCTAGACCACCCGGATCTCCAGGTGTAAGTCTGACCAAGAAGCTGTGAGATCTAATCTCCCTTCGAGGGGATTTCACTCGCGAGGCCCGGCTATGCTTCTCCCATGAGTCCGGAATGGTCGATAACTCGCTCAAGGCAAACACGGCATCCACGTATATCCCATATCAACAGCGCAGCGCAGTCTTGTGGCGGCGACGAGACCTGTTGTCCCCTTTCTTTAGCGAACCTGCAGTCATAGTTTGAATATTGCATTGACAACATGCTCAAAAACCGCCGACTCAATGGTTCACGTAACCCCTGTTTTGAGACATGGCTTTGGGAGGCTGGATCGAGCTGAAGTCCTTTGAAGTCTGGAGCTTCTTCCGAGATCTTAGGTCCAATATCATTCGGTAAAACCTGAGAAGAGCAACGGTGAACAAACGGGCAAGGCTTGGAGGCCATCCAATTAACGGATTTCGCAATGAGCTGGTGCCTTTGGCGTTTTGTCCCTGGAAGTTAACATCGCAAGTTGCGGTGTTGTCCAGAAAAAGACGTTTATTCGTGGTATATTCGTAGTCTGTAGATACCCAGCATGCTGAAGAGGTGCGTTGTTACAACCCGCATCCTCCAACACCATCTAAAGCTTTTGAGGCTCAACCGGGCGTTGGGGGCCAGCCCTATGCCCCGACCTCATCAGCTCCAAATTCGCCTAAAACCACAAATCAGCACCAATTACGTTCCCATCAGGTCCAATGCTGACACTGTAATCTAAAAATATAAGCGTCCAGGATATCAAGTAAGATTGCGGGGCAGGAAAGGAATAATCCCATGGGTGAAGGTTAACAATCCAGCTAACTGGCCGATAACATTTTGTAGAATCGTTTGGGCCCAAATTCTGGTGCAAGTTCGTACCCTTAGGCTAGTTTCGTTTCACGAGCTTGCGATATCTTGAGGGTACATTGACTCGATTACTCCATGGCCCAGGCTCCGGGTTCATAGCAATTGTGATTTGGAACCGAAAACAGATTTTCCGGTGCCATGCATATATCACGAGTTGGAGTCAGTGCATGTTGAGATATGGGATTCGGAAAACCCCGATCGTTTACTCCGTCCCTCCTTCCACAAGGACCACCTGCAGTGATAAGGTAGTCGTCAAGCTTTCAACAGCTTCTTAGTGACGATGTCAATCCTCGCGTCAAAACCTCGTTGCTTTGTTCAACCAATCAAAGCAGCTTGACACCGCTGAACGCCACATGGAAGAGAAGCGGTCCAGACTTCCACAACAGAGCAAACGAAACCTATGATAATTAGCTCAAGCGGTATTTCAAGTAAGCTTTAAAGGGGATGAAAAAGGACAGGAACAGGAATAGGAGATTTAGGCGAAAAAGCCTGCACGATATGATACGTTGGCCGAATCACATCTGCAGTTCCTGGGCCGAGTCCAGCCCTGCCCATTTCCGGCATAAGGCCACCAATCAAACATCCAAAAACAAAACCCGGCTTCTGCGTTTCCAAGCTTGGCATCACTGCAGGAGAAGCGATGAAGGCAAAGCCTCAAAGGCATGATCTCGCGAAGAGTCCATTCCAGTGACAAAACTACCCCACGGGGATTCCAGGATGTGCCAGTGTGATGCCATGCGCAGAGAACTAACTAGTTCATACGCTCCCAGTGAGGCCAGCGGTGAGAGCTTGAAAACTGGGGAGCTTTTTCTTCCGGGAGTATGGAATTCCCGCGTCCCCTCGACTGGGCCAGACTTTAGCCAGAGGTTGACTCGTGTCTCATTCCCGCACCTCAAGAATTCCAATCTTTGGGCTCTCACCGGCATCGAGCATGTGGCACGAATCAGCAAAACATACATCAACTCGGCTAACGCTAACTTTTTGTCGCATTGCTTTAAATTGACCGCTTTCCTGTTAGCGAGTTTGTCCTGCTCGACCTCTTCATTTTTCAAATCGTCCTGCAAGAGTATCGTCAAAATGAAGTTCTTCAGCAGCTCCATCATCTTCTCCGTTGTTTTCTTCATCTCCCAAGGGCTTGCTGTACCTCTTGCGGAAGCTCAGCCTGTACCTGACCCAGGGCCAGGCCCTGTCCCCGAGCCTGGAAATGACTTGGCCGAAAGAGATCCTTTTCTGAAGGGACTCTTCCCACCCAAGAATTGCCCTACTCAGCAAGTTAATTCGTGTTCCACCGGCGAGCCATATTGTTGTAGTACCGATTCTGGAAGTGAGTCTCTTACTTCGTCTTTGACTTGTTGCATCTAACATCGCAAAGAGCATAATTGTGTGAAATCCACTGTCAACTGCCAGCAGAAAGTCATCTGCTGTAACAACAACTTCGGAGTAAGTCGACCAAATGATATGATTTATGCATCCGCTAAACGGCAATTTTAGTTCCAAATGTGCATCGGTGATATTGATTTCAACATGCCTATCAACATCAACATCAAGCTTTAGAAACATCGATTCGAACCTATCGCATCACATGTCCTTACCGGTAGATGCGTTGGGGGAGAGAGTACATACCCTGCAGTGATATGTTCTCGTCTGGCACCTTTCAATTCTGGCTTGGTTGAATCTCGGGTTAACACTTTGGCACATTCTGTTCGAAACTCCCTTGATTTCGGTGATACATTCCTTTAAGCAGCCCTATGGCGTCAGCGTCATTTGTTCCTGGGGGCAGTTAATTTTAATTAAGACCTGGCAAGAGGCCATTATTGCGTTGAGTATATTGTTTAAGGCTTTTCTGATTGTCTGAAGGGCCCACCTTCAAAGGTCAACTTCTATCTCCCGTTAATAGCTCGAGTTGTAACCCTGGGTAATAGGCGTACCAAGCCTCAAGGCGCTGTTGAACCGAAGGCGGGAGGAGAAGTAGGTACCAATCGACCCGTAGCGATTACACCCGGGAAGAACGTTTCATTTCCTAATCATCGCCGAATGCCAAATCGCTTCAGCATTGCAGCCCTCAAAATGAAATGTAAAACAAAACTCTCCGCTCCTCGCTTCTGGAAAGCGAGCGGGAGCAGCCGCTCGTTCTCGAGCCCATTGCCCAGGTTCTGGATTTCGTAGACTTTTCCTCTCCGCCCGTTTCGGCTTGCACTCAATTTGTTCGTTCTCCAGCCTTGCCACCCGCCAAAACGGCCAATGCAAGGCATTGCCAATCATCGTCAGCAGAACTGCTGCAACTTCGCCAAAATCGATTGATTGTCAAGACAGCTGTCTGGTTGCGTTGGTTATCCTTGAAATTCCACTCGTGTCTAGACCTTTTCGCTTCTTCTTCCCAGCGGAAGACTCCCAAAGCGCAATTGCAAGAGGTGTCGTTGGGGTTGGCCCGGTTGGGCTGGGAGGGGACCTTAAAATAAGCTTAGGCCAAGCATTGCGTTCCCCACTCTGTTTGTTGTGCCTGTTTGCACTCATGGGAGACAAACAGTGCAACCATGGCGAACCATCCAGAGTCGTGCCGCTTGCGAATGTCCCTTCTTCTGAATATAAAACAGATTAGTCGAGGGTTGAATTTTTTTCCTAGCGAGCTAAAGCAGTAAGAATGTGCCAAGCATATGGGTAAAATGATTCCGTGTCACATCCACAGACGGCCAGGGAGCTTGTATCAATGACATGATTCACTCCTTACTAGAGAAAGTCGACGGGCCAGTCTCGATTTGGAATCTTGGTCTCAAAATAGAACTGCTCGAAATGATATCTTTGACTCTCATTTGTAACTAGTCTAGTTTAGAGCCCATGCTTAAAATACAAGAGGACAAACCGAGATAACTCGAGAATGTACGGAGTATGTACATACAAATTGGAAATAAAAACTCGCCAGCAGTTCTGCATGGTAAATATAAAATCGGTGCGACAAAAGATGAAAAGGCCGTAAAATATGTATCCGAGATATCTAATATGTGCAAAATGAATTCTAATAACCCGAAAATCTCTCCGTTCCGGCAGGCTTCCTTTGGTTTCCGGGGTTGATAAAGTAAATAAATGCAGGGGATGTTTCTATCAACAATACACCCTCGCCTGCCTCACGGACCCAAATAAAAGGGGCTTATTTGGGCCCTCCACCAAGGCCTACAAGTATGTTAGTCACAAGAAAAGCGGACGCCTCTCAATTTAATATTGAATTTACTCACAGGCCGCATATGCAAGGTACCATGTTCGGCTTGCACCACCGTCGATCCAGCTCATGTTGAAGTTGTTCTGAGCAAAAAAGTTCCAAGAGGCTCCAGGATCTATAATCGCCAAATTCGCATAGAGTACGCCTCTCCATCCGCCATCCACAGTTGATGCTGGCTTTGTTGCATTGGAAGCAAACATTGCATCCCATTCTTCCCTCACGAAATCTTTACGTCGAGCATAAGCGGATGCAGGGAGGAGTGGGAGCATATGGATGCTAAAGCAGTGGTAATTAGTACGTGTCTTCTAAATAGACAGCCGCTGAATGCTCACCCTTGGATATACTCTAGGTTCGTTCCAAAGTACGTAGCATGATCACATTTGTTCTCAAAAAGCTTCAAATAGAGTTAGTAACTAAAGATTCGATTCTGGGGGTTTTCACTAACAATTCCAGTCACTTTATTTCGAATAAATTCCTTTGGTTGATTGGTATTGTTGTTGCGCATCAAAAAGTAGTTGTCGAGTGACCTTGAAAGGATCCCCAGCATCAAGTTTCCACGAGCCTCCATGCTGGCATCTCCGCTGGTCTTACCCCACATCTTAAGAGCATATGCAAACATCGTATCCTCGGACGTGGACTCTTGATCTTTGCCGTCAATGGAAGCAAATAGTCCTTTGGCCCATGAATGTCCATTATACCAATCAAAACCTCTTGAGAAGGGGAACAGATCGTCAGCAACAGGATTGGCCGCATCGCGTACCAGCATATTAACCCATGCTTTATTCGCAGCCAGCCAAGATTGATCGAGTTTTCCAATTATCGCGGCTGCTAGGATAAAGTATCCGTAGTGGAAATGGTGGTCATTGTATAGAGTGTTCCCAAAATCCAGATATATATCCCCAGTGGTATAGGCTCCAGAAGAAACAACGCCTTTCCAAACTGTGTCATAGACAAGCGGGTGTTTCTGTTTATTTTCCACGAACCTGGCAAAACATTCCTTGAGCGTTTTCAATGCCGTTGAAGCCATGCCGGGGTCTTGTAGCATCTCGTGCACGGTATATACTACCCCCGCAAATTTTCCCAAGGCTTTTCCACTAAAATACATGCTGTCCAAATTTGTTTGGGCATTCATATCTTGGGATAGCTCAGACGGTGCTACTGCCTTGATAGCCTGTTTTGCGGCTGAAGACAAGGAAGGCTTTCCCGACATCCCTGGCTGCCAGGGCTCGAAACCCATGTTGATGGGCAGGTTTGGCTCCACCATTGTCCATGAATCCCCAACGCATGCTGTGGCTAGTCCCTTAGTTGTCGTCTGCAATTTCAGATCAGTCATACGTTGCTTTGAAGCACTGTCAAAAGAGGCAACGTGGTGCGGCAGCGCAAACATCAGCAACTGCGTGCTGTTCGCAAATTTTCCGGCTTTGGTCCACGCAAATCGGTAAGTTCCGCTTTGTCCTGAAACAGAGCCAGCGATATTCACCTTTGTTGGATAGGCACCGGCCGCTCGATCATATATACTTTCTGCATTCCCGGGATTCCTCGCGACTTGAATCGCCCCTTTAAAACCCGGTTGACCTCGAAGTGTGCTGTTGGAAACGAGCTCCAGTTTTGGATCAACTCCATTCGTAGGAGTGACGTACACAAGCCAATTTGTACTATTTTCAAGGGTGGTCGTGTACTTGAACACACCATTTTTGGGGCTAGCTGCGAGGTTTACCTGCCGAAAGGCTACCTGTGACTGAATCAAAGGTCGTAAATTATCGTATACCCCGGTCACAAATCCCATTCCCTGGACGAGTGGAAAAGTTATGCTCGCATTCGCATTTTGTTGAGGCCTGAGAATAACATCTGTAGAGAAGGCCTGTGCATCCGAAACGCTCAGAGAGGTAGAGTTTCCAAACTCAGTGGCAGATAAAATGATGGACTGAATTCCAACAGGATTGATGTAATACCTTGCGGGGTTCCCGGGAATGTTGTTGCTTCTTTCACCCAACACCCTTTGATGCGCGTCGACATGGGATACAGCTAAACCGAAGCTTTTCGTAGGGTCTATACCTTTAGACCACCCAACTGAATAAGGGTGGGCGTAGGAATAATTCTGTTGGCCATTCAAAAAGAAGTTGGCATAGAACTTGTTTGTCGACATAGGCCCAGGAACATTCACCTAAATTTGTTAACCCGCCATTCTAATAAACTAATCGAGCCTAAGACCTTACAATGTGATTCTTTGGAACGGGATGGCCTCCTCTTTTCGGAATATTGGATGGTATTTGATCCCTCGAAACAGGCAAGAAGGCATCCTGCGAAGCCATGGCCGATGCCATTGCCGATGAAGTGGGGATTATTTCTGATTTAGTCGGTGGTGCAAATGTGCCTGACGAAGCAATGGGTGCTGTTGCACTCCTGATGGAAGAACTCTTGAGATTGAAGGGGGCTTGAGCTGTAAACGCAGCAGGTTGCGCTACAGGTGTCGGCGGGTAGCGATAACGAGATGCTGGCTCGGTCTTTGTGCTGCTTAAACTGACTCCAACGTTCTTAGCTAACTGGTCAAGCTGCACCGGGGCTGGTTCGCCCAAACTTTGAACAGCTGTTGTTTGAGGCGGTACAATGCTTGGAAGCTTGCTCTGTGATCGCTTTGAATCGGAAAACTGCTATTACCATCAGCAATCGGGATGCCTATAACAGAGGGAGTGAATATAGATTTCGTGTTAACATTTACCTCGGGACCACCTAGATCAGATGGTGGAATGTAGTTGGCCCAATTCCCGGCCGCTTGGGCACGAAAGATGCCCCTTGACGGCGCCTCGGGGTTATCCGAACTCAGAGGAAAGGGGCGGGATTGAACACTGGTGAGTATCCCAGAGGATATCAGCACAGCCTCTGTGAGCCATATCTTAACACGCCGGACCATCTTTCGCACGGCTCAAAGCTCAGATACACGGCAACCGAAAGACCAACAGAACAACGAATATTGATCAAACAGAGAGGGGGGGATTTTCAAACAGGAAGGAGGCTGAAAAGGCCGTCACTCCATTAGGGCAAAGCGAGTGCTGCTTTCTCTTTAAACCACGCAGAGCAGCGAATCCACGTCAGCTCCCGGTCGAAGAGAGCATTGGAAGCTGCTCGATGACTGGGCCAGCAGACGGGATGCCGCGATGCGTGGGCAAGCACCACACGCGACGCCCCTTCATATTTGCAGATGAATTGCAAGAACAGGTAAAGTATCAAGGAAAGAAAGCGGAAGAGATTCAGATGAACACGCCCAACATGCTCACGCATGATAGAGGACCCATTGAGATTCAGGAATGCTTACCTATTCGAGAAATCTGCAAATCTGCTTTGGGGTTTTTGGCCTTGTGATGTACTCGAGATTGTAACACCGTCGTTGGAGGATGGAAAGATCTTCGGTGCAGATGCCGGTCCTCGCGGTCTATATAGCAAGTCCCCAGTGCTCTTGGCTAAAGGTTGGAATGGCTGGTGTGTAGATTGTGATATTGCCGCATGGAATCATGCCGCTGGATGATTTACTCCTGGTATGTTTGGACGAGAGAAATGCCAGAGATTGCGAAGAATGGAATCCGCAGCTGACGATTGTAGCCCTAGGTCTCCACCCTTTTGGCCAACGGGCTGATGTTGAGCGCGTCATCTTTTGAACCACAAGAAAAGGCAAATAGCTACGCATTCAAGTCGGTCACAGTTCAGGGTGAGCATACAGAGTGTGTCTCGAGGATATCGTCGAATGCAGATGATCCACGAGTTGATACAACGGGACTCAACCAGTGCTCCACGTGATATAAAAGGATCGACAGCAGCCGTGCTCTCGCTGGGATCAGAATCCCCAGCCCGTCGCATTCCTTTTCCTCCATCATCTGATATCATCATCTGGCCTAGGCCCTACACCAAAGGACGTTTCCATCGGGAGTGCGGTTGCTCAAACGCCAGCCACGAGTCCGAGCATCAAACAGCCCGTCCCTATCAGCCGCCTCAATCATCCAAGGGGCTCAGTTTTTCGTGCGAAAGCAGTTAACTTCCGTGGTGGCTAAACCAATTGCACCCCAAAGAATGCCATTATCAAAATAGTATACCAGCAGATCTATTTACAGTTGGGGTCTTTGAATTGGCTTGATAACGCCTTGCTTCACCATTATGCGAGGCTGAGTGCTCTTTTGGAAAACCTCCTTGGTCGTCCATTCCGGACCTATTGGTAGCCGAAGAGATCGCTCGTACTGCTGCCTTGACTCGAAGGGATGAGGAAGCTGAGAAGCAAGGTATTTTGTATTCTGAACAAAAACAAATTAGCATCTGAGAGCCTGGAAGCAGTCGCGGGATTCTACACACCTTCCTGACGCGCTTTTCGTTGATGATCACTCGATCCAATTTCGCGTCCTTTCTCTTGCTTGGCTTAATACCCTCCACAGTCTTGAAGCTCCTCTGGGCTCTGGCCTCTTTCTTCTCTTTCTTGGTAAGTCCCGAGCCCGTCCAGCTGCCCCATCCAGGGAGAGTGTCTTCAACTACCTTGTCATCCTCGTCCGCGATGGTTTCATGCTTCTCCTTAGTAAACGCTTCCAACACTTCGTCGCCGGCAAAAGCTCTCTTCACTAGCTCCTCGTTTTGAAGTAATACAGGCACGTGTGAATCGTCGTCATCGGAAGAATGGTCACCAGATTCACGGAAATTTTGGCGTGGTTGGCTGGCACCTTTTCGGCCGGATACACTCTTCTTCTGACGGTTGTCCGTTTCAGCAGCCGGAGCCTGAGCCGTGTTATCAATCAATGTAATATCCATGGTTCTATCTACAACATTTTTCTTCTTTCGCGACTGTTTCGTTCCTTCTGTTAGCCAAGGATTGACGTCGTCCTCTTTGTTCGTGGGTTCTGACGGCACCGCAATCCCGTTGCGGCGTGAAGAAGGCTGTCTTGGCTGTTTGGACTTTTTGTCCGTTGTGCCGTTGACACGGATATCAATTTCATCGGCTTCAATTAGATTCGAATTTTCGTTCTCAGAGTCAGGTTCTTCAAATTCTTGTCGAGGTGCAATTGGCCTATGTTTGTCAGAGGGTTTGGTATCATCCTTGCCGAAGCGCTGACGACCAGCCTCCTCGTCGCCAATTTCCGACGCCGACTCCTCGCCAGCAAGTTCACGATCGAGCTTCTTGATTTCCGCTTCATTGGCAGCCTTGCGGGAGGCCTCGGCGTTCTGCATGAACTTCATCGAAAGCAATTTGGCATGTGGCCCTGCGAGCTCTTCTTCTTCTGTACTTCGCGGGGCCAGTTTGCCCAATTTTCGCCTGAGCATCTGAGCCTCGTCTTCTGAACCAATCTCGTTGTCAAACGGATCAACATCGTCTTCCTCTGACTCTGAGCTCGACGAGCCCAAGTAATCCTCATTTTCCACCCGTTTTCCTTCTATCCTCCTCTGGAGCTCTTCTTTTCTTCGCGCTTGCTCAGCTATGCCGGACCGTGTATCCTCATCCCAGTTGGCACGACCTGTTTGTTTCACGCTCTTAGCCCATTTGCTCTCCCGGTGCTTGGCACCCATTCTCATTTCTGCCCTTAGGCGATCAGCTCGTTCGCGGTCTCCATCTTCCATATCTACTCCGGCGGCAGCTAGGGCCTCCCTTTCTCGCTGCTCCACCTTCTCGCGTTCTTTTCGATGTACACGCCGATAAGCTTTGCTTTTGATCTTTTTTATTCGCTTAGCCCGTACTTCTTCTCGGAAAAGTAACTCTCGCGCTTTCCGCAGCTCATTCCGACGTTCCTGTAGATCATGAATCGAAAGTTTATTGGCTTCCAATTCTTCGAACTCTTGGATACGCTTTTCTGTATCCTTGCCGTTCGAAGTCGCTAGACCACTTTCTATCAAAATATTTTGAATTGTAGATTCAAGGTCAGTTCTGGGTTTCGAATCCACTATTTTGGAATCTTGTAAAGGGGCGACCTCTGGAAGCGGGAACGATAAATGTTCGGCACGTCTATTAGCTTTCACGGTGTCAATCCACCTATCTAATGTTTCCTTGCTCTTCTGGTACGCTGCCGTCCGATCAAGGCGATCTTGTTCCCGTTTAGACAGAGGGACGTCCAATTTCCCGGGAATGCCGCCGGTTTTGGGCCTTCTTCTCAGTGACCTCAGCTTGAAGGTGCTTCAAGGAGCCTTTCATACGAGTATCGGAAATGGTAGGTAACAGATCGGCCACGGTGAGTTATCGGCTTGATATCAAGCCAAACTCTGTAGGTTCACTGCCTTGGAGTGTGACCGAAGGGCCTATGACTGACTTCTCTTTGTCCGTACTCTCTGGCTCAAGAGCATGAACGAATCTTTGAAGCTTCGACAGACCACGCATTGTCTGTAGCCTCGTCTTCGGATATAGACAAATCAGATTCGTCGTCGGCCTCCTCTTCGCTTTCCGAGCCCGTAGATGACGCATCATCACTATCTGTATCTTCGTGGGTAGCCTGCTTTCGTGTTTTGGACGCGGTTTTCCGTTTCTCTTCTTCCGATTCCTCAGCGTTCATGTCCCAGGCAGCGGCCAAATCAACCGCATCCACTCCAAGATCATCATCCATCTCAGCATCTGATGCACCATCTTCGTCATTCGACTCGCTTTGAGGTAAATCCCTCTTTCCACCCTTGGGTTTTGCCTGGGAATTCTTTCTCGTTGAGCTAGCACGAAACGAGTAGCCCTCGAAGCGTTCCTCATCACTCGAGCCAAAAGCGTTGTCGCTATCGATCTCACTGTCATTTTCGCTATCCACCTTGCCTACTGTCCACTCATTGCCCTCGCTATCACTTCCGGCATCACTCTGGCCGGAATCCTCTGTTCTTCTTCTCTTCGAAGGACCATCGTCATCATCCACCTCCTCATCATATCCACGCTTGCGCCTGGAGTCATAATCGTCCTCGTCGCCCAATCGATGCTTTTTAACCCCCAGCTTTTGTGGTACTTCGCGTTCGGCGATAGCTAGCGCATCAAGGCCTCGTCCGAGCTTGCGTTTTCCACCGCCGGATTTAGATTTCGCAGGGTCATTTTTGAGGTTATTAAGGACGTTCGATCGTCTGCCCGACATGACTGGATTCGTCTGTTCGCAGCCAGTAAATGCACTGAGAACTGGTGATCTGAAAGCTGCGCTGAAATGCTCGCGATAATTTTCTGATGGTCCGTGTGTGGCACCAGCGATCCCTGCCCGCAGTGACTGCTATGGCATACCATAGCAGCCAATCCACATTTATAAAAAATTCTCAAAAAAAAAATGGCAGAATCCAATTTTGCCATTGTGATGAGTCATAACAACACATCAATTCTAACAACACTAAATTTCAAACTTTTTGTTTCTTTAGTGCTGTCACAAAATAGAGTGGTTATGATAAGGAGGCTTCTCCAGATCACTCATGTGTAGTTTCTGAAAGACTTCCTCAGGCTCATCTAATATCATATCACTATCAAAAGATTTCCAGATTCACTTGAAAACACACAATATATCTCTGAAAAGTCAAAAGAAAGATATTAATTATATTATAAATATTCAACACCACAAATTTCATTTAAATATATTTGAAATTTTCATCTTTTAAGCAACACTGTCCTCAGCACTTGTTGTCAAACACTCATGTTGGTAAAGATGATTCAGATTCTACTGATTAAAAACATCTTCATCAGCCCACATCTGTGTCAATATAGATTGTGCTTGCAGTCTATATTGAATATTAAGATCTGAATAATGTGCATTGAGTAATTCCATAGCCTCATTACCTCATGTCATTATATCATCAATATTGATTTTTGGCACTGGACACATTTGTGGAACAATTTCATCAATCACTCTCTCTGTCTTCTTATTTTTCTCAGCTCTAATATTGATAGTCAGCAAATGAATATTATAATATTAAAATTTTCATTTTACTCACATTTGCTGTGCTCATCACTTCTGAGCATGTGTTTGTGGTGCAGATGGACTTTAAGACACACAACTATATAATCTCTTGTGACTATGAGAATAAGTATTATTATCATGTTGAGTAACTAGATTTAAGAGTGCAGCTGCAGCTTCCATCTCATTCACATGATCACTTGAATTCAGATCAGTCAAAGAACTTTATTGTGATGATGAAATGAAATCAGATAGATTGAGAGTTGCTTGACTGATTGCTGATGACTTTAGCTTTTTAATTTTTATATGAATTTTCTTTTTTATTCTCACTGCTGATTCATCTTTCTCATTTGAGAATTCATCTTCAACTGATTCTTTACAGATAATTACCATATTGATATATTCTGCACTGAAATATTTATTCAGTAATTTCTAACATTCAACTTTTGTGTACTGTGCAGATGTTGCAGATAAGAAGCTCAGAATTGTCTGATATTTTCTCTTAATCTTCTGAAATTTTAATAATAATTTAATTATATCATCTGGCATTTTACTGTAGTTGATTTTTGATACTTGCTTCATAATTTTATTCAAAAAATCATTATAGTTATATACTGTCTTTCTTAAATCAATGAAGACTATCAAAGACTCTATACAATCAGCATGCATGTTGAAATAAGTTATGTACTCTTTCTTATCAAGCAAAGTCAATTCTCTTTCAGTTATGCTCAGATTGTTGCTCCACATAAGATACAAGAAGATTGAAATGATCTTTTCATTAGTGACAACTGCACACTTTTCTTTTCTCAAATTTTTAATAACAGAATTTTGATGAGCTGATTCCACTGTCTGATGATTTTTATTGACACTTGAGAATTATTATTTTGCTTGTGAAATGTGCACTCTCTTAGATGAAGTGCTGAGATCAACATACTCTACATCTCAAGAAACAATAAACTCTGTTGAATAGTTTGTTAAATAATTATTTGCATTCATTGTGGGCTCTTCCAAAGCAGATGTGGTTGATGGTAAGATAGTGACAATAGAATTTATAAGATTGCAACTTGTACAAGATATTCAATTCTCATTATATTTCATTCCATTAGCTGGGCAATATTTTGCATTTGCTCATAAGAAAGACATACTGAGTGATTGATTTTGTAAATTGATCATTAAGAAGACTGATGAAAATTCTTTTGTGTGTACTTTCTCATTAAAATAAGATAAATCTTAATTAGATTAATTCATTTCTCATTTCAGCAGAAACTCAATCAAAGACATCTACTGAGTGTGGGAACAGATTAAGAGCAGATGCTGCATCAGCTGTGCAGTGATTATATATTCTCTGCTGAAGCAACATATATGCTGTCTGATGAGATAACTCTTCAAATAAATCAGAAGTCAAATTAATCAATTAACTGCAATTAAAATTAATGTTCTTCATGCATTCATGACATTAGACTAATGTTTCTCTGAACAGATACTCATCCTCATCTAATATTATTTAACAAGTGAGTCTTGAAGAACAGAGTAATCTGCACATACCTCATCCAGCCATATTCTGCTCTATACTATTCAAAACCACTTGATCAAACTCCACATTATATTACTGTACATCTTCAGCTGAATAGAAATAGTTTTTTGAAGATTTGTCAACCACCACATGTGTTCATCTGAACTGTTTTCAAATGAAATAAGTGTTTCAGAAGTTGGTAAACAAGCTCACTTCATTATGAATAGATGACATGTACATAGTCAGAAGAGCAATCTGATCTGAAATAATATTATCACTGTAGAAATCTTCTTTCTTTAAGTAACAAAAATAGTTTTGGTTGAGTGTTAGCAGTAGAAGCAAATACATATGAAAATCATCTATATATTATTAAAATAAAAGAATTTTGATCAGCTGGCCTCATCATATCTCTATATACTGATTGACAATACTTGTTCTGAAGAAATAACAATCAGACAGTACAACAGATTCAGTACTCTGTCACAGTTATTAATAAATAGCAGTTATTAAAACAGTCTCATCACTTCTGTCTGATCTTATCACAGTTGATTGCTTCTCTATTGTCTTAACAACTCTCAAATATTGCTTTAGACAACTGATAGCAGTTCATACACTGATGTTAATATATGCTCAAATAATATATCTAGCATACACATCAATCATCACATATATCTCAATGTCAAACTCTGCCAACTTAAGATACTCATCAACTGATCATATATAATCCAGTCTGAAGATAATATAAGCACTGCAGTGATGCTGAAAGTCATGATGTCTGTCAGACATTAAATGTGGTGCAACATGTCAGATCATCTCATGTAAATAATTATTAATTCAGTGTAACATCAGTATCAGAATCAAAACATGTCAACATGTGCCAGCACTCATCATGATATAACTGTATCTTGTCTCTGAAGATAGGTGTGAAACATTCATGTATTATAGTCTTCAATCACATCAGAATTGAGCTCTGCAATCATTTTATTTCTCAAGATCAGCATCTGAGCTGTGAAGATCTCAGCATCTGTCTGTTGAAGTAGCTGAATTTGAGTTTGCAGTTGATGTAGTATTCTGAATTTGATATCAAATTCTTTCTTCCAAAGCATGTTCAGCATCTTCTTTTCAGACAGTTAGACATTGTAATATAAATCATATATTTTCTCTTAAATCTTCAACTGTAACTCAATATTTGACTGAACTGAATTCACATACTTCTTCACACCCCATTTCTTAAATCATTTTTGTAGAATGTGTTGAGTGATTTTAATATTATAATTATGGTGAAGATGATCTGTCAAGTCTTTAAATGTCAAGTCATTTTTATAAAGACACACAAGCTCTAGTCAATGAGACTTAAGATCAATAATCTTTTGAGACATTGTTATGAATAGAAATTGCAGAAAGAGAAGCTGAAAGAATAAGAAATGAATGCTAACAAAAAAAACACAAATTTAGTATCTATTTTTGTTTAGTCAAACTTTCTGATTATATCTAACTAGTGGTTATCAGAGTGATAGTTATGTACATACTTGCAGGTAACTAGTTAGTGCTCTACAGTTCTCTTATAACTAAATCATAATTTAAATAGTTCCAGACTTAGACTGGGGAAGCCTATCACAAAGCAATAATAAGCTTACTAGTGATCATCTTCAAATTAGAGAACTCTATAAAGTAATTAGATACAAATTAATTGTGTCTCTTTTACTTCTTTCTCTTAATAATATCATAAGACAAGCTCTTCTCTCTCTTCATGACTTTAACAAGTCTTTCAACCAGCTCATCAGCTGGTGCAATCACATAGCTCTCAGATAAAAAATTATCTTCTTCAAGCTTCATTAGTTCACTCTCATTACTGATAGCTCAGTTTCCAACAAGCAGATCTTCATCAACTAGACAACTTGTAGCACTACTGACATTAAAAAGATCAGCATTCAGTTTCACAATTAACTTTGAAATGACTTTCTTAAGAGCACATGTCACTTGTTTTATGTTAAAGCTGTTAGAGATTTGATAGTCATAAATCTTCACAATATTCATCTGACTGATTCACCATACTCATTCCACAGCTTGCATCATGATAGTCTCAGACAACACAGTGTTGAAAAAATGAACATTTCTGCACATGTGCTGCAGATTCAGATCTGAAAAGTTAACAGAATATGAACAGACAAACACCATTATCAACTCATGAGATTCATTAAAGATTCACACAAGCTCCATCTGCTCAACAGCATTTAGATGAGCATGAAAGACTCTCATATTAATATCTGCAAGTATGAGTACAGCATTCACAAATGTCTGCTGAGCAGAGAACAGAGTTCAAACAATCATCTTCTCTTATTAAAGAAAGACTTGTTGCATAATGATCAGCAACATGACATGTATTTGAGATAACTTTCTAAAAACAAGTGAGAGCTGCTTCTTGATTATCTCTGAATTCTCAGAATTACAGTTCTTCACAAAAGCATCTTCAAAATCTCTTTTTTTGAAAATATAGTTAAGTCATTTCATCACTAGTTTCTTCTAATCAATGCATCACATTGCTGCAGATATTCTTTCTGATGATATAGAGAAATGTACATATTAAAAGTCTAGTCAAGTCATAAATAGAGCCAGTTGCTGATATTTCACCATATTTCATATAAGTTTTCCATTCTGCAACATGATGATAAGTTTGTGATACAGAGAATCAGTAAGACTCTTGTATTCTTGAAGTTCACCAGACAAGAAAGATGCACTCATGAGCTGATTTTTTGATGATGAAATGTCAGATTCTATTGTGGAATCAGTGCTGAAGAGAATTCTTGAAGTCAGAGTTTATCAGATGAGATATTTTTCTCATATTTTACTGATGCAATTTTCTGCTATGATTTGTGGTACAGACTTGTCTCACACAAATTTCATCATAGCTTTGAAGATAAGTTAAAGAATGGCACTGGAATGATCATCTGACAAGTCAAAAGAGTTCAAGAATTTATTCTCAAGTTTCAATTGAGAAAGTCTGTCTCAGAGAATGTTATTGTCACAGAATAATAAAAGAAATTTAAATTTACAGAAATTGAGATAGAAATTGAATAGAAGAGTAGCAGTCAGACACAAGTAAAAGTCAGCTTTCAGTCAGCACACAGTCTGAGTCTGCATTGTATTCATATTTCAGACTAGATATGCTTCATTCAAGATAACTTATTGAAATTTGTTTTGAAAACAATATAGTCACTGGGAGTTCATTATTGCATATAAGATTTTTGTCATCAATTGAGACACATCATTCTCATGCATTTGTCAAGAAGAAAGTTCAGATGGATCATGTCAAGATGTCAGAGACTGATAGAATATTATTATAACAGTAGACACTTGCTTGTCTTTATTATTAAAGTATTTGAATGAACTAGTCAAGCAATTCTTAATTAAGATATAATCAGCACAGTCATCACAAGCATCATCATAATAAATCACTATCTCTAAGTTCAAAGTTACTTTATCAATTTCATCAATTCATTGATACATCAGAAATGGTGGAACAATAATGAGTCATGACTTTACTGCCATGCATTGTTCTTTGAAAGTGGTCATGTACTTTTTAATAATCTGAAGTAAACAAGTTAGCTAGATACTGTTAGACTGATCTGGGGAAAACTTGCACAACTCACTACAAGAATATAAATTATTGTAACTCAAGTCTTCTCTAGATCAATAACATCTGTCAGAATCACTTCACTCAGCAACTCATTTGCTTCAAACTTCATAATAGCATTAATGACAACCAGCTGTCATGATTTCAGAACAATTGCAGATCTCATTAATTATAAACAGAGTATTTTGAGATTGTTCATGCTGAGCTTGACACAAGCTTTCTCATAGTCTTTCTGCTGGAACTTTGTGTTATTAAAGAACTTCTGAAATTCTTCATACAGATTCACATTCTTCTCTGTAGATGCTATAATTAAGTCAGAGCAAAGCTTCTATTTCCATTGAAAATCTTTATTAGAAAGACAGTACAGATCATTATTCATGATGTTATAAGAAAAATCTGCATCATTATCATCAATCAAGAGAGGTTTGACAGCATGAAGAGTGTGTCTGATCAACTTCATTTTCCAATACAGTTTCTTAAGATTCATGATATCAGATTCTCTGACAAGAGTTAAATACTGCATCAGAATCACAATCTCATCTTTTCAAGTCACTGTTTCAGTCAGCTTCAGAGTGTTTTGAAAATCTAACTGATAGAATGTAGAAGTAATAGATGCATTTAAGTCAGAATATTCAGCACTATTAATGTCTTTACTTAATATGAAATCTGGAGCTTCTGTTCTTGGTCTCTTTGACTGTGCAAGAGATAAGATAGACAAATACTGATGCTTTTGATTTGAATATGGCATGTTCACAATGCTGGTTACTTGCTGCTCTGCTGATACATCTGATGTAGAAGAACATGAATAATCATCATCAGACAGATATAAAGAGAAGTCAGAAATGAAGCTCAATATTTGCTCTGAAAAAGACTTTCAGAATGTCTTTTTGTCTTCTGACAATCACATCTGATTCTCAGCTTCTTAAACAATATCTGAATACAGTAGATGATTTGCTTTTTATTTCAATTTTTTAATATGTGAAGAGGTATGTTCTTGACATAGATACAAATAGATTGACCAGATTAAAGCATTTACTGAATCATCAGAGATGTTCTTTTTATAGAAGATTTTATTTTGGTGTGTGAGATTCCACTTTCTGATGTGATAGATGAATCTGGTCAGATAGTCTTTCAGTTTTCAATCTTCAGTTAAGCTTCAAGAGACAGAGTACTTGCTTTAACTCTGTTTTTCATCATTTATCAGTTAAATAAGAACATTCTTTAAACTTAAGCTGTGTGCTTTATTTTTGCATGCTTTCTTAGTCTTGATCTGTTCAGAGAAGATATAGTTGATGTAAAGATCTTTTCAGTACAGCTTTATTGTAGATTTCTTAAGAAAGACATAAAACTTCTCAAGAGTTGGTATTTGAAGAGTGTTCAGAAGACTGATTTTACTTGTTATCATCTTTACTTTTATTTTTAATACTAGTATTTTATCAGTCATTATATTTTCATTTCAGATAGTGTTTACATACTAGACTTGTCTTCTGTTTCATCAAACATGTTCAAACTGTCAGAGAATAATGATTTGACTTCTGATATCTCTGGTTTATCTGTTGTTATTATTGTTTATTGAAGAATATTAATAGAAGAAACATGATTAGTTGCATCTGTATCTTTTCTTTCATGAGTGAGTCTGGGATGCCTCCCAGCTTATTTTTCATAAGCTAGTCTGAAGATGCCTCCCCAGCTTATTTTTCATAAGCTAGTCTGGAGATACCTCTCAGCTTATTTTTCATGAGCAAGTCTGGGGATGTCTACCAGATTTGTTTACTTGCTATTGAATGAATATTAGTCATATTGCACAACAGCATATAATTCAAATATTAAACTGATTTATATATATCTAGAAAGCTTTCAAAATAGTGATTTCAAGCTACTAGATCAGAATTTGTTAGTTTTGATTCACATCTCAAGCTTTAAATTGGGTGAACCTGCTCCAGCTGAGTATATTTGCTGGTTCAAACACATAGAACTAATATTATAATGAGATCAGTATTATATCACATTCAAAAGCCTCAAATATGAAGCTTAGGCCTGATTTTCTTATCTTTCATGATTTTGGGCAGTGTTTGGTTACTTGAGCAGGTGGTGAGAAGGATGATAGAAAGAATGGTAGAAAGAATGGTAGAAAGAATGATGAAAAGAGTGGATTTTGATTATAAAGATCATGTGCCATTGTGTGTAGTATTTCTTCATGTGTTCCTCATCTACAAGATAAAATGAGATGTTCTTTGCTTGGACTTTGTCTATCAAATTTTGTATGGAATTCATATAGATCTATAGATCAGCAATGTCACAATCTTGAAATCTGGGGTTCCATGCACTAAGGATTGGAAGGCTTGTACTAGTCTAAGATTGATATAGTCTAAACTTATGTAATAAGTGAACACAAAATACTTATGGTGGTGAGCAAAGCAGTGTGCTAGGACTAGTGAATTTTTTTGAAAATGTGGATTGGCCGCTATGGTATGCCGTAGACTGCTGGGCCGAAAGTTAATCCGCAAAAAGTTCCTTGAGCGTCTTCAAGCAATCCTCATTCCAGCCAACTCGCAGTGTCGAAACACAGCCTGGTCGCTATTGTCCTCTCTACCGGGCGGATACTCGGGATTTTCCCATGCGAATGGTTTTGATCCCTTTCTTTCCACTATGTTTAGACCCACACAATCCCTCCAGGTGCCGCCTGCGCCTGACCACGAAGCAGGTTGGCCCGGGCTACTACAAGGGTAACCGCACAGGTTCTATGGGCTTTTTTGGGCGGAAAAAGGGCAGATATGTGATCGACTGGACCAAAGTGCGAACATACGTTGTCCCCGAGGGGCTTTCCGAATTCAAGGTTGGTGCCCTTGCACCGGTATGCGACTCGGGTTACAAAGCTGACTACTACTGACGGTAGCTTACACCATTCGTGACTCGCCGCATGGAGCCGACACGGACTATTTTTACCAAAACAGTTCAATCCGCAGATGGCAGGGACGTGGTTGTTGGAAGAGCCTACGAAGGAAAAGACTTTCTACAGGAGTGGGTGGCGGAGAACGATGAGGAGGTTGCTGAACTCGACCGACGGGAAAAGGAGCTTAACGAGCAATCCGAAACTAAGAAGGATGTATGAGCCCGGATGAATGCTTGTCTTCGAGTTCGAATACATCGACCTAGTCTTCCTCCGTTACTGTGAGATGCTCTTCCGGCGTATTTCCGGCTCGTCGAGCGATCACCACAATACATGTACAGGACGTGATCTCCGACACTGGCACCTTTCTCCTTACTTTACTTGTACGATTAAAATGGACATGGCATATCGGCGAGATCAGCGTTTGTGGATATATCATTGGATTATTAGATTCTGGCGCCTTGTGGGAGGATACATTTTTAGTCAAATAAAGAGACCTTTCTTTAGTGGATCAAACAGAGCCGATTGAATTCTGGTTTTTTTCCGAATGTGAAAATATTTTGATTCCATATGTTCAATCCTTTTACGCGGCTAAAAGAAGTCGTTGACACTGAAGTTTTGTTTGGTCGGCTGTAGGCTTGGTTGCTCGCAATTTGTGGCGAGCTCAGCTAGTGAGCTTCCATCGTCATAATAAATCCGACTAAACTCCTAGGCCTCAGTATTCGACAACCTTCCAAGATGCATTTGGGCCGGGGCAAGAGTATGCTCTATCTATCCAAACCGATGCTCTAACCCAGACGATGGATATGAGAAAAAGCAGCTGAAATCCACTACCTCGTTGTTCCTCTCTCCGATCCTCAACTACCGCCCTCAGTTTCCACGAAACCGATATGTTCCAGTCATTCACAGGCAGCACTCGTCGACCGCGACAGGTGAACCTTTCTAGCCGGTCTTCAACAAATCCGTTCGGAGCGCATCCGCCATCAAATCGCCATCCTCCCTCTGCCCGCGGGCCTCAAGCAACCCTCGCCATCGCACAACGAGAACGTCTTCGGCGACAACAAGAGCGGGACCGATTAAACGCCGGTCGTACTATCCAGCGGGTATGGAGGGGACATAGAAGCCGAAAAGCTACACGCGATACATGGAGAACATGGTGGGACGAAAATGAGCGTGCGAGAAACCCGGGTTATCAGTCACTTGGTGGAACTGCGGGGACGTGGTCAACCGCGCCTGTTCCAACATATGCCTCTGCTCCCGACTGTATCAAGCAGCTTAGGCTCCTTTTGGCTTTTCTAGACTCGGGTAACCAGGAGGACGCTGCTCGACTGGGATACTTTGCTCAGGCTTTCCAGAAAACCGTGGAAGAAACACCGTCGCTCCCTGGGGAAGAAGAATGGACAGTACTTTTGTCTCGGCTTGGGACGACTACCCTACGCGTCATAATGGCAGCGCGACTCACGTCTCCTGCATTTGCCGTAGCTGACCTGCTCCGTCTGCTAATATTCCTCACCAAACTCGTACCAAGGCTTATGGCGCACAAGGCCCGCGAATATTTCCAGGCGATGGCAATCTTGACGGTAAATCTTCGGACGAGGCCTGAAGACGTTAATGTGACAAGGGAGCTGGTTATCGAGGCTGTTCTCGCAATCCTCCAACCCATAAGCCCTGACACTCTAGAGGCTTACGAATGGTTCGCCCGAACCTATCTCACTATTCCGTCTCTGTTCGATTACCTGGGCTCCTTAACGGACCTTGCGGCTGGCGTAAACTACAAGCTTTTAGCATCTATTTTGGACTCTAGTATTCTCCATTCCGAGGAGTTTCTCAGCCCACACAACGTGTCTAGCCGCTTATGGCTCCTTGCATACTTTATCTACTTCCACCGACATGTCTTGGGTTCGAGAATCACCGTACAAGCTCCAGAAGGTCTGTTCGTGAAGGGGGTGTCGTCCCTATTAAGTTCTGTAGCGGCGGAAATTCGACAAAGGATCGATATAGGAGAAGAAGAAGAAGAAGAAGAAGAAGCAGGCGACGATGATGAAACCCGCACGGCGTCAAGCGCGCTGCCATCTTTTGTACGGAATGAGTTGTTGACTCTCGTTAATCAGGGCAGCATCACACAACTTTTATCCCGAGCAGGGGTAGATAAAGTACGCGGAATGAATGCTGAGGCGGAAGATGAAGCAAAAAGTCTGGCCACATATGCTCTAACCCTACTAAGGATATTTCCTCGTCGCAGCGATGAGATTCGGATGTGGCTATACTTGGGATCAGCGTCCGCCGCTGAACGGGGACTTGCAACGGATTCACGAGTACCTGCTATCAAGTATTTCTGGAGTGCAACTAGGTCGACAAAGGTATATCGTATTGCAATTGAAAGTCCCCCTGATATCCTAGGGATGCTAAAAGCTGGATCCGGTAATAATGCCCAGCTTGATTCAACTTGGCGAGGGCACGAACAGGAATGGACCATTATTCTTCTTTTCCTTGAGCTTTACACCTTTCTTTTGAAGGTGCTGGACGACGAAGAATTTTTCTCTGGTGGATCGCCAAACGACTTTGCAGTCAAGACAGGTATTTCGTGGACCAAGGAAAGTACTCTACCGCTTACAGACGTGAAGGACTTGACAATTTTCCTGAAAAATTTGGCCTTCACTTTATACTGGAACGCAGCCGAGCTGGCCTCAAACGATGCAGACTCGGAACGTGTTGGGATACGCGACTATTTTAATATCAATTCTTTTTCTGCCGTACAGACACCAAAAACTTCGAATTCGAAACCAAAGAATAAGGAGCTCGGGGGAGTGACTGGAATACCTCTGGAATACTTCAAGGGATTGGTAACCGGGCTATTAAGGATGGTCCATGAGCGGGAGTAAGTTCATTCTTGTTGATGGTGGCTAAATTGACCTACTAACCCCTGAACCAGTTCACGCCGAAAATTTCTGCCTGATGGCCATTGGCTGATGACGGATCGATTCGATATGGCTGGATTTATTTCCGCCGTCGTAGCCGAGGAAGAAAATAGACACCAATTGCAAGACGATGGACAATCAGACCTAGAGGACGAAGCTCTTGAAGACGGTGATCTAGGCCACTCTCTTGGGCTAATAGGCACCGGTCGAGCGCAACAACTACGGCGAACAGAGCTTCTAAGACAGAGACAACATCGGGCGGCTCGTAAAAAGGAGTTGGAGGCGGTTGCTCCCCGACTGGAAATTTTACGCAACATGCCTTTTTTCATTCCCTTCGAGACCAGAGTACAGATTTTTAGAGAATTTATCTACAGGGACCAAATACGGAGACGAAAGGGAAATGTTGATCCCGACTCATGGCGCCTGTCTGTTGCTCATAGCTCGATGGGTCTCAACGAAGATGGTCGTACGATGGCGCACGATATACTGGCTAAACATCATGCAAATATAAGGCGTGAAAACCTGGTTGAAGACGCATTTGAACAATTTTACCCTCTAGGCGAAGGGTTGAAGGAACCTATCCAGATTACGTTCATCGACAAATTTGATACAGTCGAGGCAGGTATTGACGGCGGAGGGGTGACAAAGGAATTCTTAACAAGCGTGATAAGCGATGCCTTTGATCCTTCTGGCACTTTGAGTCTCTTCTCAGAAAATGACCAGCATTTGCTATTTCCCAACCCAACGGCCGTGGAGCAGCGAAAAGCGTTGCTTCGTCAAGCAGGAGTCCCTGAGAGGAGTGTTGAATGGAATCAACAAATTAGAGAATTGCTGAAACGATTTGAATTCCTTGGCCGGATTATTGGAAAGTGTCTCTATGAAGGCATCTTGGTCGATGTTAATTTTGCGGGATTCTTCCTCTTGAAATGGGCATTGACTGGAGGGTCGAGTTCTGCATCCAAAGAATCGGCGTATCGTGCTAATCTTAATGACGTTCGGGATCTGGACGAGAGTCTATATCAAGGCTTGGTAGGTCTTCACGCAACTGCCTAGCAGCATACCCGTTGCTAATGTGTGTTTTATAGTTGCAACTCAAGAATTATCCTGGCGATGTGGAGGACTTTTCTCTCAATTTTACTGTCACTGATACCGTTACGGTTCCCGGCACTGGTATAGATGACCCAGAGAAGACGCAAAGCATTACAAGAGATCTCAAGCCAAACGGATCCAATATCGCGGTAACGAATCAAAATCGACTGGTGTACATTTCTTACATTGCACGCCACCGACTTCAAGCCCAACCCTACCTGCAAACAAACGCCTTTCTGCAGGGCGTTGGCCAAATTATCCAGCCCTCGTGGCTTTCCATGTTTAACCAAGGCGAGCTACAGAGACTAATTGGCGGCGATGCGGGAGAAGTAGATGTTGCGGACCTTAGACGCAACACACTGTATAGCGGCGTATACTCCCTAGGCGAAGATATGGAGGAGCATCTAACCGTCAAGCTATTCTGGCAAGTCATGGAGTCGATGTCTAACGCAGACCGACAAAAAGTGTTAAAATTCGTCACGTCAACTCCCCGCGCACCGCTTCTGGGATTTAGCCATTTGAATCCGCGATTCAGCATCCGCGACTCCAGCTCTGATGAAGAACGGCTGCCCAGCACGAGCACGTGTGCGAACCTTTTGAAACTGCCGCGTTATACGAGCGCGAAGACCCTTGAGCAGAAACTTATGTATGCGATCAACTCTGGGGCGGGATTTGATCTGAGTTGAACAGTAGCAAAACGTATAAAGTTAGATACGCGATGCATCGGTGCTGCTGCGTGGTTGGTACTTATTTTAGACGAACCCGAGGAACGGCACACAGTCATGGAGGCATACAGAGGGCGTTTCGTTCAGGCAGTTGTTTGCTTCTTTGCCACTCTAAGCATAGTCTCTTTGACACTTTACGCATATTCCGCTGTTTGTAGATAAGAATATAGGCAACAGTGCATTATCCGGTGTATGTCTGGGCACATTTGATCAAAGAGCTTCAGCCACAGCCCCAGCGAAGGAGTTAGTTAGTTCAAAGCGGAGCACAATGCCGCCCGTCGAGGCCCTTCAGCGCAAGTCTGGTAAGTTTGCCAGGAAGGCTCCAGTTCTCGCAGCTGGAGCACAAGGCAAAAGGGAAAAAGTCGAAGCGAGCAGAAAAGCACAATCGACGCCGGCCCGATTAGGCTTAGCGCGATATCACAAAATTTCGAATTCGGTTTTTGGCAAAAAAAGTTGCAGCTTTCGCCCTCGCTCTTCACTCTCTCTCTCTTCCTCTCTGCCATCCGCAAATCGCGCTCTCGACAAGAAGCCCTCTTTTTTCTTACTGACGCTGTTTTCAGGCTACGTTGGAAAATCGTTTCTTTCGACTGTTGTTTTCGCCTGCCCCCTCCCCCTGCCTGAAAATTACTCGTAACCTCTCAAAAAAACACCTGCCTCTCTTCGAGGTTTTCGTGGTAAGTGGCCCTGGTGCTTCTTTGTGGCATATTGTATCTCACTTCACCTTCCACCTCCCATCGTCCACCACGCCCCTCCCCATTCGATTCCCACACGGTTTAAGAGCAAGAAGATCATTCCCGTCCCCCTGACTGTGTGTTTTTCGCCAAGTTGCTGAGCTCGACAGCCTCTTTGATCCTTTTGCGAGGTTCGTTGGTTACTTCCGTCTCACATGACAACAAGGAGCGCACACAAACACATCAAGCAAAATCCTTTTTTCGATTTCTTTTGCTTTCGACATCACTGAGTACAGAATGCTGATGCCTGTCTTTCCCTAGATCTTAAAAAACTAGAAAAGCCAAAATGTCTGCAGACACCGCTACCAACCCTCCAGTTGACACAGTTCCAGGTGCTGCACCTGAGTCTGCCACGAACGGCACTGATGCCAACACGACCACCGATGCCACCGCCGGTGACGGCCAGGCTCCTTCCTCGACCACCGCGACCGCTCAACCCCACTCCGCCTCTCTCTATGTCGGCGAGCTAGACCCCTCTGTTACGGAGGCCATGCTTTTCGAACTTTTCTCCTCGATTGGTCAAGTCGCTTCCATCCGTGTATGCCGCGATGCGGTTACCAGAAGGTCCCTGGGATATGCCTACGTCAATTACAATAACACTGCCGATGGTGAGCGCGCACTGGAGGATCTAAACTACACTTTGATCAAGGGCCGTCCTTGCCGTATCATGTGGTCTCAGCGTGATCCTGCTCTCCGCAAAACTGGCCAGGGCAATGTCTTTATCAAGAATTTGGACACCGCGATTGATAACAAAGCTCTCCACGACACATTCGCCGCCTTTGGTAACATTCTAAGCTGCAAGGTGGCCCAGGATGAATTCGGCAATTCCAAGGGCTATGGTTTCGTCCACTACGAGACTGCTGAAGCTGCGCAGAATGCCATCAAACACGTCAACGGCATGTTGTTGAACGACAAGAAGGTGTTTGTTGGTCACCACATCGCCAAAAAAGATCGTCAAAGCAAGTTCGAGGAAATGAAGGCAAACTTCACTAATGTCTATGTGAAGAATATTGACCAGGATACCACGGACGAAGAGTTCCGGGAGCTCTTTGAAAAGTTTGGCGAAATTACCTCCGCTACCCTTGCCCGTGACTCCGAATCGGGCAAGAGCCGAGGCTTTGGATTTGTCAACTTCACCAGTCACGAAAGCGCCGCCGCTGCTGTTGATAACCTGAATGAAAAGGATTTCAAGAGCCAAAAGCTCTATGTCGGGCGTGCTCAAAAGAAACATGAGCGCGAGGAGGAACTTCGCAAGCAGTACGAGGCAGCTCGCATCGAGAAGGCGTCAAAATACCAGGGAGTCAACCTCTATATCAAGAACTTGAGCGACGACATTGACGACGAAAAATTACGGGATCTCTTCAGCGGCTACGGTACTATCACCTCTGCCAAGGTAATGCGTGATAACCTTGCCGCGGAGTCTTCCTCCGATTCCGAAAAGGAGGCCAAATCGGAGGGCAAGGAAAACGAACCCCCCGAAGAATCCAAGGATGAAGCCGCTGAGAAGGCTGAAACTAAGGATACCAAGGAAGCCAAAACGGAATCAAAGAAAGCTGATAAGAAGCTTCTTGGAAAGAGTAAAGGCTTTGGATTTGTCTGCTTCAGTAGCCCCGATGAAGCCTCGAAGGCTGTCACGGAGATGAATCAGCGTATGGTGAACGGCAAGCCTTTATACGTCGCTCTAGCCCAACGCAAAGATGTTCGAAGAAGTCAAGTAAGCTGCATTGTTGTTCGGACTTCAAAAACTAGTACTAACCTCATGAATAGCTTGAGGCAAGCATCCAAGCTCGCAACACGATTAGACAACAGCAGGCAGCCGCCGCTGCTGGCATGCCACAACCAGTAAGTTTACCACATCCCGTCAATAGAACAGAAACTAATACGAATGCCAGTTCATGCAGCCTCCAGTGTTCTATGGCCCTGGCCAACAAAACTTCCTTCCAAATCAACGCGGCGGTATGCCATTCCAGCAGCCCGGCATGGTTATTCCACAGATGCCTGGTGGCCGGCATGGCCAATTCAGCGGATTCCCTGGCCAGCAAGGTGGCCGTGGAATGAACCCCAACCAGCAAATTCCTCCCAATGCATATGGCCTTGGTGCTCAGGGTCTGCCAATTAGTATGCAAGGCGGAATGCCCAACGGCCTTAACTATCCCCAGATGGCCCAAGTGCAAGCTCCATTTGGTAGAGGACGTGGCCAGGTTCCTGCCGTGCAGGGAATGCCACCAAACGTTCAAGGAATGGGACCCAATGCTCAATTTGGACGCGGAATGCCAATGCAACAAGGTATGGGACGTCCAGGACAAGCCGGCCGTGGACAAGGACCAGCCCAAGCCGCAGGTCAACGCGACGAAACCTCTAGTCCAAGTGGCCTCACCCTCCAGATGTTGAATGCCGCACCACCCGCACAACAGAAACAGATGCTTGGTGAAGCGATTTACCCAAAGATTCATGCCCATCAGCCTGAACTCGCTGGTAAGATCACGGGTATGCTCCTAGAGATGGATAACGCCGAATTACTTGCCTTGTAAGTGTTCCTATTGAAATTCTTTCTCTAGTTTTATCACTCACAATTTATAATTAGGGTCGATGATGATACCGCCCTCAAGGCCAAGGTTGACGAAGCCCTCACAGTATATGATGAATATGTAAAGAACAAGGGTAGTGAAAGTGGCGACGCTGCACCTGATGTCAGCAAATCGAAGGATGCTGGTCAAGAAGCTACGGAGGAAACGAAGTCTTAGATTGTAACAGACTGGATGACCTTTTGACTCGGGCTTTTCTTTTCTTGATGTGATGTCCTTTATGATTATTTTTCATGTGTGACTACGTTCCTTTTAGCTCATATGTCTATGTATGCCTGCACTGATATTCTGCTGTTTCGGAGCTTCATGTTAAAGACGGCGTTCTTAATGGATATCCATGAGGCCTTCCGTCGGTGATGCAGAGATACCATCCTCCATCCTGCGCTTTTTCTTTCACCTCATTCCTCCTCCGCGTCCCTGTCTCTCAGCTTCCTACGCATCCAATTTTTCTGTTTCTTGCAGACTGCTCAGCAGTATCAAGATCCGAGGCATGATTTCCTCTTCTTTTTTTCTTTTCCACGTTAGGACGGAAGGGAAGGCAAAAGTTCTTTGGGCTGGATGGGCTTCTTCCTCGTATATGTGTCTGTCCCTTGCTTGGTACAGTTCAGTGTTGAGAGTAATCAGCAGATTGTTATTTCAACTCTCTTCTCTTCTCCCTGTAACCTTTCTCCGAGTGAACAATGAGCTTTGAGGCTTTCATGTACATCATCATAGAGTGTGCCTTGTGTTTTGTTGCTCGTTCCGCCCTTGCTTGTGCAAAGGATGGAGCAAGGCGGACGGTGACAAGCACAAGGGCTTCCTAGTTGAAAAGCAGTTTGATCAACCGCTCTTCTCCAGCGGATATATTACTCTCTCATCTACGAGTAGCATCATGTGCTTTTCTGGATTGCACTCTTGAGTTCGAAGTCCTCATCTCCACCTTTCTGCGCTCTAGTAAGCTAAATCGCGGAGTTAAGACGAGGTGGAGCGAATGATTGATAATCGAGCAAGTTCATACCAGACACTGAACTATAAAGCCGGACAGGAAGGCCGTGGGAAAATGAATTCGGCATTATATATCCATCCTCAGGTGGCTTTTGGATAGTTAACCACCTCATGATGGGATTCGAATCTTTTCAAGCCGGCGGTGCTGATAGCACTTTGGCCGGAGCTTATGTGACCTTGCCGACCACATGTATGGTTTACGGAAGAGGTGAGCTCATTTGCCGGCTGTGCACGTTATCTTCCTTTTGTCCTGACGGCTTTCAAGGATTCAAAAACAAATTACCGCAGCTTCTTTCGGATCTTGGTGTCTCCAAGGCTTTTATCATCACCGGAAAGTCCCTTCGTGAAAAGACGCCTGTCATCGCGGACCTTGAAAATGTTCTAGGACGTGCCCACGCAGGGACATATAGCGGCGTGCGGCAGCACGCGTGAGTTTTACCCAATTTACCCAAGTTAATAAACAGCATTGCGGATAACAAACTACGCTCTCTAGTCCCATAGCGGATATACAGGCCGCCTTATCCCAAGTCCAAGAAACGGGCGCCGATGTCCTCATATCTGTTGGCGGGGGATCGCCAATCGACTCCGCTAAAGTCGTTGCATATCACATTCATAGGCAAACTGGGAACTGGATACCCAGTATTGCCATCCCGACGACATTGAGTGTGGCGGAAACGACCGGCGCTGCTGGATATACGAGTGAAGATGGGAGGAAGATTGCAGTTGCTGATCAGGAGCTTGCACCGAAAGGTACGGAACAAATTGTGTCCTGATCCCTTCTACAGCGCATTAGTTAGCTGATTGAGATGTTGTATAGCTATCCTGTATGATGGAGACCTCGCGCTTCATACTCCGATGAGATTATGGCTAAGTTCTGGGGTAAGCCGGCTAATGGTTCCAGCATCCCCTTGCCTGTCAGAGCGCTGATTACGATATCTAGGTTCGAGCAATTGACCACGCCGTTGAGCTCCAATATCACCCCGAAGCCCCAGAAGTTCCCATCAAAGCCTGGCTCGCGATGCGCTCCGTGAACTATTCACGCTCCTCCCGCAAACCTGCAAGAACCCACAAGACCCAGATATCAGGCAAAATCTCCAACTAGCTGCCTATTCCTCTCTCTTCCCGTTCCACTTCACCAAAAAACTGGGGCTAAGCCACACCATCGG